CAAAAGGGGAGGAGCCGGCTGCTATATAAGTCGGCTTATAGTGCCATTTGTCAAATTTTTTCTCCTTCAGTGACGAAGCTCATCTCCTCACTGACTCTGAAGAAAGAAGCCAAAGCAAGAAGCTCAGCCTGCTGCTCGCCGTAGAAGAGCCCCTGGCAGCAGAATATCGCCGAGCAAGCCGTGCCCTACAGCCATCCGACGGATTAAAAAGAGCACATTTTATGAGCAAATTTCACAGCGACATTGTTGCAAATGTCGCAATGCGAGTGTGGCTCATGCAAGGAACCCCCGCATAACACAGACAGGCACAGTGAGTGTGTCGCTTGCCTAGGCAGTGCCCAGGCTGCACTCACTGGGATTGAATGCTCTCACTGCTCTTGTCCTGCTTCGCTCACGGATCACCTTCTTTCACAAAGGCAATCCTCCCCAGCCTGCTCTCCCATTTCCTCCCTCCCATGAGCCTCGGAGGAAGAAACAGCAGAGCAGCGGGGTTCGGTCAGGATTGAGTGTACTCACACCGGCCCAAGGCCTGTATGCTTCACACATGTGGATCAGTGCCCCTCGTTGGCTGCGAGCGGCTTAATTTCCTTCGGAGGATCTGAGGAGAAAGTTGTCACTGATTACTCTATGTCATTGACACCTTCTGCCACATAGTGGGCGTGTTCCAGCGAAGATCCTGACACCCTCCCTTCATCTCAACCAACACGGCTCAGTGCAGACTGCGAGCTGATCTGCGTTCTCATCAAGGCTGTAGAGGATAGCTATATGGCCTAGCTTGATCAGCTCCAAAGGAAGAGGAGAGGGTCAGGTCCCGCCGAGGCTGGACTTCCCTCAAAGAAAGCTTGTGTCTGCTCTCCATTCCCCACTAGCTCTGTTCAAATTTGACCCGACCTTCAGTGCGCGCCCAACAAAATTACCGCTGTAGCAGACCCATATACTCAAAAGAGCATTTCTCCTGTTCTTATTACCACAAATGTCAGTTTCCCGCCTCCGTGTGGCGACCCGTCAATCGGGAAACTCAAATCGCTTGCAGGCCACCTCGCTTCAGAGGTATTATTTAAACTTCGGTTCAGGACAACGATGCTCACTTTCTCTGGTTCAAAGTGCAAATATGCTCTGGGGACTGTTTTTCATCTTTGGATCTAAAAGATGCTTACTTTCACATCCAGATAGCCCCTCATCACAGACCGTTCTTGAGATTCACGTTTGAGGGGGTGGCTTATCAATATACAGTCCTGCCATTCGGACTGTCTCTGGCCCCACGCACTTTTACGAAGTCTTACGGGAATCTGCATTATGAATTATCTTGACGATTGGCTTGTGTTAGCCAGATCAGAACAGGAACTCATCGCTCACAGATTGCTGTTACTAAAAATCAATTTAGCCAAGAGCTCTCTATCTCCCAGCCAGCGAGTTGTCTTCCTGGGGACAGTTTTCGATTCAGCCCACACAGGCATGGATTACGCCGTAACACTCTCTGACAATTCAGCGGCTAGCGGTGTCATTCAAACTTGGGACTTCACGTCCCCTCAGAGTTTTTCAGAGGATGCTCGGCCTTATGTTGGTCACCTCCTCTGATTCCTCTGGGCCTGCTTCACATGCAGCCCCTTCAATATTGGCTCAAAGCCCATGTACCCTCCCACTCTTGGTGCCTGGGACGTTTTCATCTCAAGGTAACCCACCGCTGCATCAGAGCTTCTTTCAATCAGGTGCTTTTTCACTTTTTCAACTTTGGTTAGTCTGTAATGTTGATGTTTGAGCATAAAAAGATCTGCAAAGTTACAAAGCTCAAAGTCCACTTCAAAAGGAGATATTTTATTTAACTGAAATCACTTTTCAAAAATTACAACGAATGACTCATTTGGACTACAACGCATATTTTCCGGGATTTGTGATATCACAAATACCGACGAATGGGACGAGACCTGGTTGAGCTGCACTAGAGAAGGCAATGAGTGTTATCACTATGTCGGAGACACACTAGCTTTCCCAAGGCAGACAAACTCAGAGTGTTTACAATCATCCGGGTTTAAATTGCGCTCAAATTGATTTGATTTTGACGCAATATTTACACTGAAGCTCACAGGCGGCTATGGTAAGGGGCATGACATTTCCTGACCAGGCGCCGAGTGCTGCCAATCACAACACACACTGAGTGCTGGCAATCACAACACACACTGGCCCAGCTAACCAATCACAGCACATTTTCGTATTTCTGCCTTCATTTGATACAGGAACTATTCGAGCCGTTCATGCCAGACTGGGGAGAGAGTTGTTGTAATAATGTAAAATATGTGAAAAATAATGTGTTTTTCGAACAAGCTAGTATAAGAGCCTGTTCTGGTACACCCCCAAAACAAAATCAAGACTTTGTAAAAGAGCATAATAGGACCCCTTTAACCTTTCTGCAATAGCTGCTAGATCAGGGGCGCATCCCTTCCACCATCAAAGTATATGTGGCAGCGAATCATGCTCTTGTGGCTGGCCAGTCAGTCGGCAAAAATGTTGCTGTTAACAACCTTTTTGTTAAGTTTCTAAGGGGAGCTCGGAGACTTAATCCACCTCATCCTCATACTGTGTCGACCTGGGACTTATTTATAGTCCTAAGTGCCCTGCGGTCCTCCCTTTGAGCCGCTCCAGTTGGCCGACTTGCGGCACCTGTCACTCAAGACCGTCCTCATTTTGGCATTAGTAGGTGTAGGTGACCTCCAAACACTGTCAATCAGTGCTTCGTGCCTTGAGTTTGGGCCTAACGACTGTAAAATCATCCTCAAACTGAGACACGGCTATGTGCCTAAGGTGCTCTCAACCCCGTTCAGAGCATAGGTTGTTACCCTTCTCACTCTTTCTAATTCAGAGGATGAGCAGGGTCCCAATCCATTCTGCCCAGTTCAGACTCTTAGAGTGTATGTTGAGCACTCTGGCCCGTTTCGGCACTCAGAGCAGCACTTTGTATACTTCGGATGCCACTCTAAACGGCTATCTTGCTGGAAAGTTGATGCTGTAGCCCTGGCTTACGCCGAAGAGGGCTTACAGTGCCCTATCAGGGTGAGGGCTCACTCCACCAGAGGAATGGCCTCCTCCTTGGAGTAGTCCAGTGTGATTTCTATTGTTGATATCTGTGCGGCCACCGGCTGGTCATCGCTGTCAACCTTTACAAGGTTTTACTGCTTAGATGTCCCTGTCCTCCAGGCATGGATTTTGTCTGCTTAATTCACCTAATCCCCTCTGAGTGGAAAGGGTTCTGCTATGTAGTCCCCAGTCGGGTGGCTTGGGTCTCATAAAAAGCTCATGCTTTTTAGGAGCCCTCATTGCGGGCGCTCCGTGGCTGGGCTCGCAGAGCGGCTTAGTTCTGCACTTGCGTATAGCACGGTGCTATTGGATGCGTTCCCCATAAGCCTGTTAAAAGCAACGGGAGAGACCGTTTAATAGGGAATGCTCTGGTTACTAACGTAACTTCAGTTCCCTGAGGGAACGAGCGTTGCGTAAGCTGCCATGCTATAAGACTGCACGAGAGTCGATGGCTGTTGCTGACATTTAAAAGATTCTGGCGAACGGCGCTCTGAGCCAACTTACTGTATATAGTAGTCGGCTTCTCCCCTTCTGGTGGGTTGAAGCGCCCTTTGTTTGCGCAGTTACATGAATGTGAACAAATCAGGCTTCAGTATCAGAGCAAACAGGAGTTTCCCCATAAGCGTGTTAAACGCAACGCTCATTCCCTTAACTCAGGGAACCGAGGTTACATTAGTAACCGGAGCATTTATTTACCGCTAAGTTGGCCTCACCAATGAAGGCGAGCCTCGCATGCCAGAAATATAAATGGTGCATTGTACTAGCCATCATGCTACCAAGCCTTTGATGAAAGTTACCAATGTAGTCTTTACATTGGACAGCATTGAAAAATATATAATTAGCTTTTTTCTATCATAAATAATTTAAAATAATTTATTAAACAACTGAATGTTAAATATGTCTATTTATTTTTCAATGTAAAAATTATTTGATAATTTAATGATCAATTATTTTATTTAACCATATTAATTAAATAAATGAAATTATTACAATTAAATAAACAATTTAAGTTTTTTTTAATTTTATGTTTGAATTATATTGATTATTTATTCCTTTATTTTATTTTTAACTGTCACCATAGTCCTCCATATATTAAGGGCCATTAATGGGAATGGAACTAGACTTTGCCCTTTCAAATCCAGCATTGATCAGCTTAAGCCTCGAGAAAGATTTATTTAGAGACCTTTGACCAAAGCTGGCTCATGGCACAATGCACATTCTGTATTTTCCCTTAAATATCATAGCCTTTATATCAGTGCTATTTTAGTATAATTGAGATACTATTATAGTTTTTATTTATATTCTAAATTAGTTTTTATTTTATATTTTCCATTTTCTTTGTCATTTTAGTTAGGCTTACATTTTTTTGTAATTTTGTTGTGTGTTTTTGTAATGTTTATTACTTTTTTTATTTCAGTTATTTTAGTACATCAAGTTCAAAGTAAATGAAAATTGTTGCCTTGTGTTTTTACATATGTTATTTCAGTTAACATGTATTTTATTTCAAGTAACAAACATGTATTTTTATGGTTTTAGATATAATAACCCTAATGTACAAGCTTGAATTAATCTTGCATAATAAAACACATTTCAGTCCAAAACACTTTCAAGATAGCCATTGGGCAAAAATAAAAATTTAAATAGCTTCCAAAATGCTTCCAAAAAACAAAAGACTCTTTCAATACCTACAAGTCAGGTCTATATTTCCTTTAAGAATATAACTTTAAGCCTGTACAGTAATAACAATAAAAAAACTATATAGACAGCGCGCAAAGACAATGCTTGTGCATGCTTATGTGCTGCAACTTGCATTTTATTAGCAGTTGATTAGGTGTTCGTACTCGCAAATCATACCTCACAAATGTATTCTGTGTGTGGCGTTCAATAGAGGGCGCCAGTAAACATGACGCACAGCTCGCTCAAGAGAAAAAAGCACAACATTAGATCGGCAGAAATTGCGTACGCTTGCGCCCTTGACATGCTGCTGTCTCGCTATTTTAAAACAGCTGCACTTGAAAGCGTTAGCCGCTGGCTTGTCAACCAAGACGACTCGGATAGCATGAATTCTTAATATATAAATTCTCACAGTAGCCTTCGTGGAGTCTAATAATATGTAAGGATATCGGCTGGCCGTGAGCACCGTCCACGTCATGTGTAGCGCGAGCCAAATCACTTGAAGTTCGCTGTACATTTCGGTTTTTTATTCGGCTTACGGAGACTCTGCTCTTGATAGCTGACAGTTTTTGAGATGATCAATTTCTGCAATGGCGAGGGGTCTGTTTTCACGGGCCTGGCTGTCAAAGACTTACCACTTTCAGGTAACAATCCTTTTTGCAATTTATTATGCATTATTGTTATGATGAATTATCTCTACGTCTTAGCGAATGCTTGGTGAGAATGAATTTGGGCAGCAGTGTGGTTGACCTTTAAGACCGAGATCATTTTTTCTTATCGTCAATTTATATATTTTGTTTTGAATGAGGTAAAACCGTGGTGCAGCTGCTGTGATCTGCTTTGAATCTATCAGGTCTTGATTAGTAACCATAGTCACAGTGACTAGCTTTTGAACTCGGGACAGCGGTTTCAAAATATGTTTTTGACGTCAGAGACATATGGTCAGAGAAATCTTCTTATTTATGGAAATAATTCCTCCATTTACTCTTGAGATTAATCCCCTTCACTGGATGAAGTTAAACTGGGTCTGTGGTGTCATGGCAGCCTGCAGCCCTGCACAACTCCACAACAGAACTAAGGAGCTTACACAGAAGCCAGGTGTAGAGCAGACATGTGAAATATTTTAATATTTTGCATGTAAAAGTACGGTGGCCGAGAGAGCTCAACGCGCTGCAACTTAAGAAAACACATGCAAATTGAAAAAACACCAGCAAATTAAGAAAACATCTTCATCAGTTTGACAACACACGCGCTGCAAATCCTCACAACACATGCAAATCAGCGCGTTGAGCTCTCTCGGCCACCGTATAAAAGGGTTAATCATTGTTTATGATTTATATGAAAACGAGAGGCATTCATATAAACATTTAAAATGGCAAACTAAATTTGAAAGCCATTCATTCACATGACCAAATGGCTTTAAATATGGAATTCCTGGAATGTCAAATGTAAAGATCACCTTGTGTGAAAAAATATAGTAACAACTGACCCATATATTAATATAGATTTAAAATATGAACCACCAAGGTTGATATTTTAGGGTTATTATACACAATGTAATTAAGATAATAAAGAATAAGAGAGATCTAGAACCTTGTACTCTGCAAAAGCTGATCAGTGAGCATATAATATATTATATACACACTACCGTTCAAAAGTTTGGGATCAGTAAGATTTGTAATGTTTTTTTAAGTCTCTTCTGCTCATCATGGCTGCATTTATTTGATCAGAAATACAGAAAAAAACTGTAATATTGTGAAATATTATTGCAATTTAAAATAATGGTTTTCTATTTTAATATATTTAAAATATAATTTATTTCTGTGATGCAAAGCTCAATTTTCAGCATCATTACTCCAGTCTTCATGATCCTTCAGAAATCATTTTAATATGCTGATTTATTATCAATATTGGAAACAGTTTTGCTGTTAATATTTTTTTGGAACCTGTGATACTTTTTTAGTATTCTTTGATGAATAAAAAAGTTAAAAAGAACAGCATTTGTTCAAAATAGAAATATTTTCTAAATTACCTAATTATTTCTTAATAAACAGGAGTTGAGCTTTGATGTACATTTTTAAGAACAGAAAATTTTTCAGAAATTAAAGGCAAAAATGCCACCAAGCACGCACATTTTTAATGTCACTAATAAATCACATCACTAGGCAAAGAGTACAAATATGCACAGGTAAAATTATAATATATACATAATAATAAAAAGAAAACACTCCAACAAACTCAAAACTTTAGTCTTCCATGGTGCTTTATAATGTAATATATAGGGTCCGTCTTATTTAAAATGTATTATAGCAGAGTGAATATTGTATTATGTATTATGATTGTGCATTATATGTAGAGGTAGATTTGATTTCAAATCAACAGCCATACTTGTTCAAAGTTTATTTCAATTAAAGTCAGAGTAAACTGGAAGTTGCAACCGCCTTTACTTCAGTATTGTAACATATTTTGACAAAAGATTATGAAGACAAACAATTTTTTTCTGTGGATTAACTTGCATGATGTAATTGTTTACCACAATAATGTGTGCTAACAAAGTTAATTTTGATTTCATGCTGACTTTAATTGAAACTGAATTTCATTATTTGACAAATGGATGACACTGTTTTTATATTATTAGAAAAGAATGGCCTTTAAAAAAATAAAAAGTTATTTAAAAGTAAATAAACACTTAATAAAAAGTAGGTGTTGAAACGTTTATTTCTGATAGTGCTTACAAGAATGATGAATGTTGTACTGCACATGAAGTGAAGTGAAATGACATGGAATGGAGATTCTCGTAACTCACTTGGCAGCCACACTTCACAGCTGTATACCAAAAACAAGAAAATTAAGGTGTGAGTGGTCGAGCAAATCACATCTGACGGAATCGTCAAGTCAAGTCTGCTTTATTGTCAATTCTTCCACATGTACAGCACATACACACAGAGAATTGAAATTGCGTTACTCTCAGACCCTTGGGTGCATACAGATAACATAAATACAGATTAAATACAAAATACAAAATACAACTATACAAATATACAAATAAGGTAAAATGTAAAAAAATATATATAAAGCACAAGCGCACTCTCCTGAAGTCAACAACAATCTCCTTCGTCTTCTCCACATTCAGAGAGAGATTGTTGTCACTGCACCACCCGGCCAGGCGGCTCACCTCGCTCCTGTAGTTTGTCTCATCTCTGTTGCACATGATGAATTGACTTGAGCTCAGTGCTGACAGTGCCAGAGCTGGTGTTTCCATGTGTCTAGAAAGCACCAAGCTGTTTCAGCAGAATGGTTCATAAGAACATCAGGGAGCATGTGGCATCAGATTCACGTGGTATTGATAGACCGTTGATTTGTGGACTTTGAAAATGTCTCTTTTCTTTGAGTTGATTACAATTTTACTTCTGTAACGTAAGACGTTTTTGAACAAAACAGGCTATTAAAAAAATCTATGGCAAATTGATTAATTGCATTTTTTTACGAGAATTAAACCAAGTCTGAATTGCAGTTCACCATGGAGGACTGCTTTCCTCCTGTAAGGCATTTTGAGGAGGCTTTTTAAAAGTTTGAAGATTGGCGGCAGGTCAGATTAACCCTCAAAAACTTTTCAACATATCCCAAAGTTTATGGTAACATTTGACAACTCAAGATTTTAGAAAGGCTGTATTACTTAAAGTAGCCTATAGTAGGCCTGTCACGATAACAACTTTTTGTTGTGCGATATATTACCCCAGAAATAATTGCGATAAGCGATATTGTCATTTTTAAGACCATTTTATGCCACTGATTATATAATCATAATAATGCAAGAAGGCCTACACCCTTCCAAATGACAACACACTTTTAATTCTTAAGAATATTTAGATCATGGAAATTAAGTATCAAAATATTAGATACCTTAAAATACCTGAATAAATAGTAAATAAACATTTTCTAACAAAAAGTGCAAAGTAACAAGTAGAAAAAAAATACACAAATTTATGGAGATTTTTCCATCTATAGATTTCCCCATGACCTTCTATTCTCTGTAAATTAAGGGTGCACACTATTGCTGAAAAACACAATCACTACTTAGCAGTCAGATGTATGTATGCACAAAGGCACAGATCCCTAAATGAGGCCATATCTGCAGATAAAACTCGCACCTTATGACACACCACGTTATGTACGAGAAGCTGCAAAAGACACAAGCGCAAGTGGAATGTACAAAACATGGTGACATTAATTTTTAAGTAAATATAATGGGGCTGAATGATTAATTGCATTTGCGATAATATCGCGATATGAGAAAACGCGATTTTTCAATTGCAGAGGCTGCGATTACACGGTCACGTGTCGCGAGAGTGAAGAGGTGTGTTCCCCTTGAAGATCGATCGGTGTATGACATCAAAGTACGACGAAAAAAAGCATAAGGAGACGTCCCTGGGAATGGGAGATGGATCAGTTTGTGAAAGTGAAGAGAAAAGCCATAGCTGAAGCCGCACAGACAGGTGCTGTTCATTTAAAAGCTAAATGCATAAAATATTACGAGGCATATCTTGCTCTCGGCTTCACTCACCGTGTCTATACCAGACGCTACAGTTGTTGCGACAAAGCGATAGTTGCAAATCATTTTAACTTTGTGTCAGTACGTCATAAATAGAACAAGGCATTAGTTTAATGTCGCGTCGCATCCAGTGTACACAGCGTCACTGATTATAATGGTTCTACTGTATTTTGCCGCTCGCTTGCTAAAATTTTCATAAAAGCAGCTATTATATAATATCCATTTCTGATGTCGCCAATAATTAGAGATGCACTGAAATTTCGGCTGCCGAAAATTAGTTCACCGCTCAGGATTCACTTTCACGTGTTGTGACGCTCTGCTTGTTATCCCGCTCTATGCGTGTGCGCGCTTCGCTCAGTCGCTCACGGCCCATGTGAGTGCTCCACTCATATACCGTTCATGCTCATCGGAATAGCAAAGTCCACTCAAAAATCAAGCTGACAGGAAACATCGATGTAGTACAGTATTGTTTCTGTTTGCAATAGCCCTACTGTGCTGTAACAAGGTGTGGTAAATGGGCAACTCTGGTAACGCTGCCCTCTCATTCATTGATCTGCTAACCATTATGCTCACGTGTCCTCTGATAATAATAATAGCTTTCTAGGATTAAACATTATTTGGATAATTGGTAAAAAAAAAAAATCTTAATAGCCCTACTGTGTGTTAGATCTACCTGAAAAATTAAAAAGTAATTTATTTCATTTGTAGGCCTACCGTTATTTTTTATTTGTGCTATCATTAGTCATTTCTTTATTTTATTATTAACTGCTTAGCCTCCTTGTCATTTTTTTATTGAATTCAAAGTTTTAAATCAAGCTATCTCGTGCTACTGCAACAAAATTACCCAGCTGTAAAATAAAAAATACACTGAGTGAGCAAAACTTTGTTTAATTACCATTATAACTAGCTATCTCACAATGTTTACATATGAATAAAAGCCTACATTAAAATCTGTCAGCCCTAACCTGTATATTGCGCGATAAGTCGATATATTGATTATTGCGACAGGCCTCGCCTATAGGCCCATTCTGACCAACAGACAATAACATTGTTTATTATTGTAAGTGTGTGCTGCCAGCACCTGTCAAAGGG